TTGGCGGAACTTGCTGGCCGGGCTCCGTAGTCTTTTTGAAAGTAGTGGTCCCAGTCCAGGGTTGGTCCTTCAGAACTCTGATCCCCTTGGAATCAAACCAGACGTCCGTGAGCTCGTCCTTGCGCGGCTCTTCGCTCTCTGGCACAGAAAACATGACTGTGTGCCGGTGTCCAGTAAGTTGATGGAGATCCGGTCCGTCAGGAGCAGCTCCCGGATGGAAAGCTGTACGTCGAGGAGCGGCATGATGACGAACCCAGGATTCTGAAGTTTCCTCCCACCAGTCGGACTCGTTATCCTCAATCCAAACGCAATCCTTTGCGTTTCCCCAAGCTGCGTCCGTAACCACAGAAACTCGAAGCCGCTCCCAGGGTATAGGCATCACCTTGATGCCTGTAGTAGCGTACTTGTGCGCTTCTTCCGCAATCTTGTTGCCCTCGATGATGTCCGCCACTCTTGGCTGGGGAAAAGCCTGTTGCAACAATGCCACCCTCCCGGACAAATCACATCGGGTCTCCTTAGCCAGCCAGGCCAAAGCCCCCAGCTGACTCCGAAGCTGTTCTATCTCAGAAGGTGTGCACTTGGAGTACCGTTGCTGCTTTCTCGAGCGGCCGATCTTGATCAGGTGAACCTTGTCCGACACGTAGAAGGCCTGGTCGATCGTGATGGAGCCGTCCTCCTGCAGCTTGATGTCCTTGCCGGTGAACCGGCCTGTTCCTGTCTGGTTCTTTCCCAACTTGTACTCCGTAGCAATCTTCTCGATCACTTGCCAATGGCGTTCCGTGCCTCCATGAAGCAAATCATCTGTGGCTACCCCAACAATGCCGTCTAAGGATCCGGACTGGGATCCCTGTCCATGTAGGAGAAACACACAAGGATCCGCAATGCTCCGAACATATCCGAAGTCCTGGACCAGTCGTCGGCAGAGGTGACGGTACCAAGCGAGGGGTCCGTCCGTCAAACCGTAGCAAGTCTTAAGATTCCTTCGCGTGGTTGGAAACAGTACAGCTCCCTTTCAATCGCGTCTCCGGAATGAAAAGCCTGAGTAAAATCCAGAAAACCCGGAACCCAACCCATGGAGGCAAGCACTTGAGTCACGAAGATCACCGAGTCCCGGCTCACCTGAGGGGTAGTACTTTCAACCTCCGCGGCTGCCTCTTCTGAAAAACCCCTGCATGACATGCCGGCATTTGGCCTTGTGGGGCCCGGAGCCGTCGTCTTCAAGTAGGGTGTCCTCGGCCTGCGCGGCGGCGATGTCGGAAGGCTCCAGGGGCTTTTTCGTCAGCACGTAGCGGGAGTTCATCACCTTCTCGCGTTTGTCCCGTAAAACCGCCTCGGACTCGCTGAGTGACAGGAGGCGGTAGGCACCAGTCTCCAAGTTGTTCCGGATCTCCTTCTGGATCGCCCTTTGAAGCCTGTCTGCGTCTTTGCCTTGGAAGTCCTTGGCCGTAGATTCCTTTCGCTGTCGCTGACGCTGAAGCGCTTGCATCTGAAGATTGTACGCCTCAAGCAGCTCGATCCGGCTTCGCTTTCCTGGAGGTTCCGGAGCCGCCTCGAGCTCCCGTTTGTTGTCTTGAAGGCCCGGCACCGTTCCTTCTAGGTCCATGTCCTCGGTATTCGGTTCAGGCTCCATAAGGGGAACTGCTGGTGGAGCCTCTTCTTCCACAGCCATCGGAGCTTCCGGTGGGACCGAAGGAAGACCAGCATTAGCTCCTGGACCTGAAAGGTCCGGTAGGATATCATCCTCCGGACGTACCTCATAGTCGCCTGTCTTTCGGCGAACACGACGGACAGGAGGTTGTCCGGCATCGGTTCCTGGTTGAGGCTCCTGCTCGTCGCCTGAGAACTCCGGGGGATCCAGGTCTTTGGTCAAGTCAACAAATCCTCGCTTGGGGGCCGCTTCAAAGTCTTTGCGAACTTGGGCGATACCGCTCATCCAACCAGAGAGGGAAAGATTTTCTTCCTCGGTAGCCGGCCGAACTCGTTCAGGAGCCGCTTTGATCACAGTGTTCTGGAAAGAAAGCCACAGGCAGTTGGGCAGGTCGGTCATCATGACTCTTGCGGGCCCTTGCCAGTAAGACTGGCGAGTTTTCTTCGTAGAGCCCGCTCCTCTCCGCCAAAAGAAGACCGCCTGGCCAACCTCATAGTTTCGATGTGGCCTTGGTCCCGAGTGAATCGCGGCTCTGAGGGCCTGGTCACAGTCGGCAGCATGAAAGGCAACCGCGGCAGCCTTCCGCATCTTCATCGCCCGCTCGGTCGGGGCGTCGCCGATCTTGATGAGGCCGGCGACCATATGATCTTCGGCACCTTAAATGTTCGGTGTGCGACTCCTACCGGCTACCTGACGCCCCTCGAAGAGGAGCACCTCCCCGGGAGAGTTTGACGGTGAATGACTTGGTCGGGATTGATACCGTCCACCTCCGAGACCATAACAATAAGGCCATCCCGGCGATCAACGTGGTGGATTGGAACACCCACTTTCAGTTGGTGGTTCCCTTGGCCGCGGAGACGGCTGAAGAAGTCCGGCAAGCCTACAGGCAATGGGTCCGATTCTTTGGACCCCCAAGGCGCTTGATGATTGACCTCGGCACCGAGTACAAGTCCAACTTCCGTCGGCAGGCCGAGCGGGACGGCACGGAGGTGGTACCTTCTTCCTTGGAAGCTCCCTACCAGAGGGGCTTGACTGAAAGAGCAGGAGGAGTCTTCAAGAACATCCTTTACAAGGCCATGCAGGACTACGATTGCCAGTCAGATGCTGACTGGAGAGAATTGGTGGATGTTTCTTGTATGATGCGGAACCGGCTGCTCATTCGGGGGGGATACTCGCCCATCCAGCGAGTCATCGGATACAGTCCCCGCCTCCCAGGAGGCCTCCTAAGTGGCGCAATCTGGATAGCTTCCTCTGGGGCCTTGCTCTGGCGGAGAATTCTGACAAACCGGTTGTGATCCGGGTGTCCTAGGCCTTCGTGGGCACGACGCACCAACTTTTCCAAGGTGACCTGGCGAAGACCAGGAAACTGTTTCATCCGTTTCTCCGCCGCGGGATCAATCTTTGCCTGGTACACGGTGGCCACCCAGTCTTGAAGAGGAAGACGCCGTTGCTGGTCCCGGAGGTCCTGCCATCGGACCTCATCTTCATGGAGAGTCCAGCCGCTGTCTTTGGTCCGGACCCACGTGCTTCTCCAAGGAAGACCGTAAGCGGGGTGATTGGCCTCGGGAGTGGTGACATTGCCGGTGAAGCCAATCGTGATTCGGAAGCTCGTGCCATCCCTCGGCTTCTGCATGTTCGGCCGCACCGTCGTAGGAGTCCGGGAAGATCGCCCTCTGAATCTCAGAAGCCTCGTCTTCCTGGTGGAAGATCTCGGGGAGATTCGGTGGGCTCGTCTCCTCGGGGTAGTCTTGACCGATCTGGCTGAGCTCGGTCTTCGTGAAGTAGGCCTCGTCCACGCGGCGGTCCTCAGCAATGACCTCGGAAGAACGGGACACCGTGATCTCCTTGGGGTCCCGGAAGTTCGCCTTGGCATAGGGGGCGATGAAGAGAGAAACCAGCCGTCCACGGTCCGGCGGACCTGCAGATCCAACTGATCGAGCCGCTGATCCGGCAACCCCGGAGCTATTGGTGAAAACACCGGAGCTTCCAGATCCGTCTCCTTGGTCC